ATTATAAGATCTTACATAAAACAAATAAAAATGAAATGATTTCTTTAAAATATTTTGTGCTTGCTGCGTTTAAATAATCAAGCTAAAGTTGTAACTTTATTTATATAATATTAAAATATGTAATAAAAATTACGGTTTACCATGTGTATACATTAATATCCTGCACATTTTGTGCATTTTGGCACTTTTGTTATACGTTAACATTTAATATTTTGTATCAGTCTTTACACATTTCTCATGTTTAAAACCTACTATTATGGTCTAACGTACTATGGGAAAGTAAACTGTGTGCGTGCGCGCGCGCGTTTAGTTTATCCTTCCTGTTCAAATAATTGATCAGAAACAAAAAATGTTAATTATATATATAATATGTGTATGTGTGTATGTATATATATGCAGTCAACCCTCTTATAACACGATATATACTTCGATATAACGGTGCAAAAATTGCGACCGTCCTTTAAGGGGGGCTTCTCATGTAACAGCAGTAAAATCGAACGATTCTTCTATATTTTTTTTTTTTTTTTTTTGAGAAAACTATTAACAATACAAGATTATTATTTTACGGGTACATAGATACATTCATAAACTACACAAACAATTTTTTTTGTTTACTTTTCTTCATTGTTATATCAAATTGTATGCAATTGTTTTTATCCACTTTGATGATGAAACCATTATTGGCGGTCAGTGTAGTACTTGTTACAATCATCAGAATTTAAAAATTAAAAAAGTTTCTTAAAGTTAGATAGTTTGTGATGGAATTATACCTATTTTAAACAAAAATTATGGAAAATTAGACAAGTTGTACGGTTTCGAACAACAATTTACTTTTCTTGGTGGATAAATTGAGTTTATATTGATTAAAAGAATATTATAAATAAAAAATAAAATAAAAATCAGAGGTACAGTCTCTAGAGGATTGTATAAGAAATAAAACAAGCTTTGTTTGAAGTTGATTAGTCAAATAGTTATTGAGTTAACGTGCACACCAATTTAAAAAACATGGTTTCGAGAAAAATGCGTTTAAAGTTTTCTCCGGGATACATACATGCGTGACACGCTATGTTCCAACGGGTTATAGCTCTGTTAATTCTTCGAATTCCGATCTAAAACTTTGAGAACATATTCTCAAGATATAAAGCTATCGATTTATATAAAAAAAAATCGATTTTTTTTGGACCTGTTACATGTGAAGCCCCCCTTAACACGATATTTTTTTAAACGGTTTTTATATAACGGTTTTATAAACTTGGGCAACTCTCACATAACACGAATGTTTCAAATATGCATTCTTATACTATTTTATTTAAAAAAATATCTGACTTTCGTCAGTTCTCGAGCACACGCACTCCGAGAACACTGTTTCGATATAACACGGAACAAATCCCTCTGGTTTGCATTTGTTCTAAGTTTCGCTTAACACAATTTCGATACAACACGACACTTCGAGAACACGCTTTCGATATAACACGAAACACATTCCCCAAATTTCTATTAGTTTATGATTTCGCTTAACACGTCTTCGATACAACACGGAACGAATTAACCGTGTTATAGAAGAGTTAACTGTATGTATGTATGTATGTATGTATGTATATATATATATATTGTAAAAACAAAATAAATGGACATTGATAAATATAAGTGAGTTTAGTTTCATTATTTTAAAAAACGTTAATTCGTTAAAGAAATTAAATAATAAAAGAAATCCGAAGTAAATTTATCTCATTTCTTAGGACGAATCATTTGATGTGTGACTTTTTGATTCAACCGGTAAAGCAAGAGTAGCTGCAGCAGCGCATAATGCTGTTATAGCATAAATTGCCATTGCTCCAGTAATAGACCATTGAAGAAATACTTGTGCTATGTACGGTGTGACCATTGCACCAATTCTAGCCATTGCACTACAAGTGCTAACACCAACACTACGTAAATGCGTCGGATATACTTCAGGGGTATACACATAAGCTGCTTGAAAGACACCAGCAATTAAACCTCTAGCTAGAAAAATTGCGAGAGTCAACGTTACTCTGTTTAATAGGCAAGCTCTGCCTAAGAAACAAATTAATATGGCGAACATTACTAGTTGAAAAGCCATTGTTTTCCTCCTGCCAATTTTTTCAATTGCAAAAATAGTAGAGAAAATTCCTGGAAATTCGGCTAACGTTGTCCAAAGAAGATCAATATAATCACTACGTTCTAAACGACAATGTAGTTGACAAACATCTTCTTTTTTATTTTCCCAAGAGCTACATTGTTCTGATGATGTATGAAATAGTTCTGTAGTCATTAGTACAACACCATAATAACAAAATGCTGTACTCATCCTAAAAGTGCAATAGCCATAATTGGTGAGATGTATTATTATAATGTTAAATACAATACTACATAAAAACGTAATTGAAAATTAAATTTAAATATTTACCAAACAAGCCAAAGCAAGGTAGATGTCCTGCACATTTCTTTACTCAATACATCCTTCAATTTGCCATGGTTAACTTGGTAAAATCGATCCATAACTAATCTTCCTGGAGGTAAAGGTTTCTTATTTTCTCTTGCTACTCGTTCTAAAGTTGAAACAGCTTTGTCCATTCTTCCACTTGCCATATCAAATATTGTAGATTCTGGCAGCCACTAAGAACAAATATAATAAATGATACATGTAATTTTGTACATACCATTTCTATAACATCACATATATATATTACTTACTGGAGTGATTATAGCAAATACAAGAAGTGGTACAGTTGATAAAATAAGAAGCCATCTCCAACCAAAAGTTGGCATTATTACTAAAGCTATTGCAACTTCAAAACAAGCTCCAAGTGCCCAAAAGCACTAAAAAGAGTAATTATTTTATGTGAACAAAGTAAATATGTGCATTATTTAAATTTATCTAAGATAAAATAATGCTTACATCCAATAAAATGACACATTTTGCTCTTTGTTTTGCTGGAAGGAATTCTGCATACAATGTTACTCTAAAATAAAAATGATTAATGTTATTTATACGTAAATCAAGGATATTAATATTTTTATTTATAAGACTTACCAAATACTTACGATTGTGGCACACAACCAATAGCAAAGCCAACTAATCCTCTAAGTAATAAAATCCACAGAAAATTTGGTGCAAAGGCACTCAGGAAGGCATAATAAAGTAGCAATATTGCACATAAAGTTAATGACTGTTTACTACCATATCTGTCACTTAAATTACTCCAAAATGTAGAACTTAGCATCATACCTAGAAAAACAACCTAAAATAATTATAATAACATGTTACATTAAAACTATGATAAAAATTTTATTGAGCATAAATATTTTACTAAATACTGTTACCGTAGTTGTTAAAGCTTGCTGATATCTAGTTATACCCCAGTCACAATGTAAAGATGGACTTAAAATACTTAATATTGTTATTTCCATACTATCTACCATCCAACAGAGGCCCGTAAATAAAGATAGTTTAACTTGAAATTTTCCAAATCCTAATGTATTGATAGCTTGGATTACAGTAAATGTATCTGTCAATGAATTTTTGATAATATTGAATTTGAATTGACTGTAATTACTATTTATGTAACATACTTAATTATTTAAGCATTTAAGTTAAAAATACAACAATTCATTAGAAGTTATTTATATAAAATATATTTTATGACATATGTGTACTTTATACATAGACTATATGTACATTCTATAATTGCAACAATGTATGTTAATTAGTATTGTTATATAAAAATATATGGAAACATTTTATAAATTGCTAATTTGTTTCACATGCACTCAGAAAAGAAACAGTTAGTAATATTTTAATCGTACCCAAGTAGAAACTAAGATCACTTCAGAAACCTCTGAAAGAAAAGTCATTGTTTGAAAGAAATATTAATCAAAGCAGTCCCACTTTTAGAAGAACAATATTATATTTTTATGCATAATAAGATATTTACACAACTTACAGTTACCCGCTCCTTTACAAATAAGTTTAAGCACATTACCCTGCACATAAAAATTATCAGCAGTATTGTAAAGAGAAATCAAAAGAATTTACATATTTATATTATTTCAATTGACAAGTGTCAGTAATATGCATATTAAAAAAAAAATAGTATACCATCAGGGATAACTACAACAGAAGAAAGTTCCATCGAACGCTCTACACAATTTCCAAAATTTCTATTACATCTTGATGTGCTTTCTGAATTAACATTTAATTCAGAACCACGCAATTCTCCTAACTCACGATAAGGTTCGTTAGATATTTGTGATGGATTAGACATGATTGTTTATGTATCATATACACGAAATAATTAAACAACTCAAAGAATCCAAATATTTATAACTATCACCAGTAACGTAATTAATCTGTATGAAAATTAAAATGAAACAATTAATTATGTATCTTCGTCAGTATGTAGAGCATATCAACTTCCACATAGGTAAGGTTAGACTTTAGTGGTTAGTGTATAAATTGATCTTACCAAAATAAACATTGAATAGTGTGGGTATGAAAAATTAGAATACAAACAAAAATTGCATATGCTATGGACTTTACAATGGTTTTTAACAAAATTAGAATATTTGGTATTTAAAATAATCATATTTCTTATTTACTAAAAATAAAGAATAACAAATTAAAATAATTAGTTTAAAAAACTCTAGTAACACGAGATCACTAGTCGTTTTTTATACGTTCGTAGGTAAGTAATACAGTGGTTCTTCTACAATTGTGCATAACTTCAGGATATTTACAATTGATATTTTTAATGAAGAACCATTAATAATTATTTGGATGTAAAGAGATGCCATGACATTTGCACAATGAAAACATTGAGTGTATAGGTATTTCTACAGCCGCAAATATTGGATATAATATTTTTAACATACGTGAATCATTTAATAATATTCAATGAATGTCTTATATATGACGCTTCGAAATTATCACATGTGGTATTTGAATATATATTAATTGCCTTTATATTCTTTAATTACACTTAAATTATGAGTGTTGACAGCGAAAATAAGTCGAATGAAGCTATTGTTTCGTTTGCACCATCAGATCAGGAAAATACTGATAATGGAAATATTGAAGGAACTCCGATAACCCCAGAAATTGTGCTGCGGTTACCTACAATTACAGACAGTAAATATTTTCTTTTGTTTCGATATAATATGAAATAAGTAAAAATTAAAAAGAAAACTGTATATTTATATTAATTTCAGAGTATTTATGTTCTCCTGAGGCAAACATTTATGATATAGATTTTACAAGATTTCAAATTAGAGATTTAGAAACAGGAGCAATATTATTTGAAATAGCAAAACCACCAGCTGCTGGTTAGTTACTTATATATATTTTTATATTTGAAATATTATAAAACATGAATTTTATTATTTACTTTTTAGAATGTGATTCTAATCAAGATATGGAACCAGAAAATGAAGAATCCAGTTCTGAGGATGCTAATACTGGCCGCTTTGTACGCTATCAATTTACACCTCAATTTCTTAAACTAAAGACTGTTGGAGCTACAATTGAGTTTTTAGTGGGTTCTAAACCGGTAAACAATTTTCGAATGATTGAACGTCACTTCTTTAGGGATAGACTGTTAAAAACTTTTGATTTTCAATTTGGATTTTGTATACCAAACAGCAAGAATACTTGTGAACACATTTATGAGTTTCCTACTTTACCTGCTGATTTGGGTAAGCAACAAATAATTATTTGACATTAATTAATTAATTTCCACCAATTTTTAATATATAAATATTAAAACTGATTTTACAGTTTCTGAAATGATTGAAAATCCATTTGAAACACGTTCAGATTCCTTTTATTTTGTGGACAATCAGTTGGTAATGCACAATAAAGCAGATTATGCATATAATGGTGGACATACACATGATGTACTTTAGTAGGTGAAGTTAGTAGGAAATTTGCACTTTGCATAATGATTGTGATAATAGTAGTAAAGATTTAGCTAATTTAAAGTTATAATTTTATTTCTTTTTACATCTAATTGTATTTTCTTTTAATTTTCAATTTATTTAAATTTTATATTTGCATCATATGCAGTTCTTCAAATACCTGATTGAATTTATTATATCTTGTTGTATAATTCTACACTGAACTTATAGTTGATTAAGTATGTTTTATGTTAATAATTAAAAATTTTATTTGTTTAATATTTATGCAGTAGTTGTTTTTGTGCTGAAATGTGGCCTTATGTAGAATTATTTTCCAGTTTCAACAATATTAAATTTTCTAAGTGAAAAATATTGGATATGTATTTTTTATGAAAACAACAAATAAAAACTAAAGATTTTTTAAACTTTGTAAGTTTTTAATAAGCACAAAATTCACAATTTATTTATATTACATAAAATTATATTTTACATCACTATTTTTCTCTTATTTCACATGTAATATTGTAAATTTTACAAATACATGTATATATTTACAGAATATATTGTGTACTTTTTTTACATTTAAAATGGTAATAAATTATGGTTGATTAATGAAGTCAACCGTCATTTTTAAAAACTCTACTGGTTTATCTACATGCACCCAATGATTTGCACCATTTATGTAGAAAATTTTAGCAGAAGGAAATAATTGTTTAATTTTATTATGATCTTCTACTCTTATATAATCACTATTTGAACCACCTATGAATAATGTAGGTCCATTGTAAACTTTTAGTCCTACATTTGGGAACACAGCTATTTGTGTTGAAAAATTTTGTTCCAAAACAGGTAAATTAACACGCCATTTATATTTTCCAATATCTGCTTCTACTAGGTTCATTGCTAAAAACTGTAGTAAGAGATAATTTTAGTATATCTAAATAATCATGCATTCTAATAGATTATATGCAATATAACAAGTAACTAATTACCTGCCGCAAACTTAAAGATTTAACAACAGTTGCAAGTTGTTCTTTTACCACAGTGCGTGCTTTAGTTAATGTTGTACTTCCATCTAAATTTATCATACGCATTACCCTGAATATTTTTTCCATGTCCATAAGGTGAGGGCTTGTTCTCACCGGAGACATATCAACTACTATTAATTTCTCTATTAATTTTGGATAATGTAAAGCTACATACATCATTGCAGAACCTCCCATACTATGTCCTATTAATACAGATTTTTCAAATCCTAAATCATTCATAAGTTGAACTACATCCTGTGCCATATAACTATATGTCATATCTGTAGAATGTGGGGAATCTCCATGGTTTCTGGCATCTACGGTTATCACCTATAAATTTATTCCAAGTATCCCTTATATAATATAAAATTCAGTTATCTACCTTACGATTAGTTTGCTGATGAATTGTTTTTGATAATGTGTTCCAGTTCGTCTTTGAACCAAAAAGGCCATGCATTATTATAATAGGATGTTTAGAAACATTAGTTTCATTCATTGACTCATAAGATGCATATGCAAGTTTTACTGGTGTTACACTTGAAAAATATTAATGAATGTAAATGATATTGAAACAAAAAGTAAATATACACGTATATATGTATGCCTAATACATACGAATCAGAATTGTTACGTATTTGTTTAGAAGATAAATACGATGTAAAAGATGAATTAATAATAAAGTCCTGTTTTCGATAATAAGGAAAAATATTTCGTGTCATTATTAAATATCGACAGCACATACCACTCATTTTACTTTTTATCTTTTTTTAAATGATTTACAATAAATTTTCATTTATATATTTACAATTTTTACAACATTTCGATTTGTTCGAAAAATACGTGCTCTATTATTGCTTATGACATAACTCATAAACTATGAATTAACTATGTATGGTAATGGTATATTATAAAATAATATTATAATTCAGAACATAGATCAACAATCGTAGACACACTTTACATAAAATACAAATTGAGATCCAATAATATAGTAAATACATGTATAGTAACATTATGACACAATATTCCTATACTTTGTACATTGAGGAGCATCGATCTTTGTCAAATCCCTAGAACTAACTAAACATACAGCGGCGGTGGTCTTATGTGAAACGGCGTACAATGCCCAAGTGAGATGTGTGAAAATCATTTTGACATTGCCGTTCAACAATTACATAGAAGCGGCTGTGGCGTTTACTTGGTATCGGTAAATTGGTAACTAACATACCGATATTTTTGTTCATATTATTTATCCCATACCACAGACGAGGTACAGAATAAACCTTGCATTTTATGGGCCTTTTTGTAAAGGGCTTTGGGGCCGAGAAGACCCTTACCATTTTCGTGTCGCTACCAACGTTACCGATTTAGTATAGAATAGGATTACAGCATTAGTAGTGGTTGGAATTGGAATTAAACGGAACTGTGAAATTACAAATAAGAAAGTAATGTAATTGTTTATTAGTAGATGATTCATCATATGCGCGTATTCTACTGCTGGCAGAAGATCGTGAACAATTCTACCCACACAATCCAATATATGTATGTATCTTTATATGCAAATTTAATAAAAGAGGATTTTTTACATTTATTGACTTTACCATCTTTGATGGTTGGATTGAATGTAATTCTTAAATTCACTGCTTTATATCGTAGAGGGCATAACAAAAACTCTAGTTTTTTACATGATCGGTATTTCAAAACGTTGGACACAAAATACATTAGGTGTAAGGTTTATTTCTGTACCTCGTCAGTGGTTGTAATCTTATTCTATACTGAATCGGTAATGTTGGTAGCGACATGGAAATGGTAAAGGTCTTCTTGTCCTCAAAACCGCAAACAAAATGCCCTATAAGATGCAAGGTTTATCTTGTACCTCGTTTGTGCTTCGATCCGAATTGATAGATGGTTGCTATCAAAATAATTTTCGCGCATGTTAATGACGCATCGTACAGCATTTCACATAAAACCGTTGATTGCCACGCATTGGGTTAGTGCAAAACGAATTCATGAAAGTTAATGTATATTCATAGCATATATACATTTTAAACATTAGGGACAAAAATACCATCAAATGTTTCTTATGTGTAAATATAACAAAGTTTAATTTTGAGAAATATGAATATACTTAGTAAATAAAGGATTATAAAGAAACTACATTTTACCTGATGCACACTTAAATATAGTTTATTTACTTAAAAATTTCTAATAAATACAAAATCACAAATGAACACTTAGTCTTTGTTATAATTCAATACCAATAGATTCAGAGTAGAGATCCATTTAACCGGTCATAATTGCATGATAATTAACCGTTATTTGATCATTACACTTGCAATCTACATTATGTGTAGTTGTAAATATATTATTAATTGTAATAACATGGTCGATCGTGTTTTACAATTACATATGGATATAAAGAGAAGCCTTGTGTGTCATCTAGTCAATTATCATATAGCTGCCGTACAAATGTTTTGTTTTTAGTTTTTAGCTTTGTTTACTAAATAGTATGGAAGCTCCAATGAATGGTAAGAGTTGTTGGTGGCAATTACTTAGAGTAATAAATTATTTATCAGTGTAAATGGACAAACAATCAAGAAACACTAATATATGAGTTCACCAATTATATTAATTGTTATGTATAAACATACGAGATGTGTGATATTGATATTACTAGGCAGGCATTGCGTATCTTAGAGATACATTCCAAAGCGCATGGACCGTCTCATGGCACGAATTCACCTAGCAACCATTGCTACTGGGGTTGCCTTTTGGCAATGGGCGCACCAAGTACAATTTTTCACCCTGCTTGTTAGTATAAATAGGCGCTCGTTGATAATGGTCTACCAATTGGTCTAATGTATGGAATTTTCTTTGACCAATGCAATATAATGCTCCTTCCACATGTACCCTAAAATGTTTGTTACGTCCTGGAGCTTTCAAAGATACCGAATAATCTCCCACCTAAAAGTTATAACATTTACAATGTATAAATTAAATATATTGAATTTTATTCAATGTATTATTAAGAAAACAATGACTTAAATTAACTAATTTAAATATATATACAGTGTGTATGATTTATCTGAGAACGTGTAAATATCTCGAAAAATATAGATAACACGGAAAAATATTTGAGACAAAAATCATAGGGTATCAAGGGGCACATCAAATTTGAAATTTGATATCTCGACATTGGCTAGTGCAAAATACATGTGTAGGTAGTATTTGAAAACATTTTAACGTCAGCTACAAAAATGTGTAATAAAAAGTATAGGTCTCCATTTACAAATTTAAACGTAACCTCCATAAAGCTTTTCAAGGTCAAATAAATATAAGCATCATATGTGCCCTTTAGTACCCCACAATTTTTATCTCAAATATTCTTTCGTGTTATCCATATTTTTCGAGATATTTACAGGTACTCAGATAAATCACACATATTGTATATACAGCAATAACTCTATACACCTTAAATATTTCTGTTATTTGTAATAATATGAAAAAATGTTGTATACAAAACTTGCATGGCACGGAGGGAAACATATTGTGATTAGAAATATTTAAGGTGGACAGAGTTATTGCCCCACCCTGTATACATATATATTTGTATGAACAAAATTATCATAATTTATACTTACATTAGTTTCACTATCTCTAATTAAAAAGTCACCATCATGACCATGTTGATTCAATAACGTGTCACATTGTGAACGTGAAATGCTCCCATAGTACCAAGGTTTTCCAATAAGATGTGGTCTATCACCAGGGTCTGGCCTTCTTTCAAGGGAATCTCCTGTACTAATCTCACTACTTGTCATTCCTCGTTCACGGTATGGTTGTGTTAAATATTCGCTGAGTTCTTGAAGGTAATTACGTGGTACAAGACCTATTTGCCCTTGACTGTTTCTTGCTTTATACCATTCGGGATCTGCTGGTGGACGGTCAAGAATTTCCAAACGATCACCTTTTTCAAAGGATAGTTCTTGGTCATTATTAGAAGAAAATGAATAAAGTGCCACAACAATATCAAGAACATTTTCTGCCATTGCATATGTATGAAGAGTGTCATCTGCATCTCCTTCTTCCTGAGTATAATTTGATGGAAACCAGCCTGCTTGTGTACCACTTTGACCTCTCCACCAACCATCATTGCTCTTTTCTAATATTAAGATTCTAGTGCCTTTGACAAGTGATAATTCATCTGCTTGTTGTGCCTGATAATTGTATTTAACAACTGCTGTGCCTATTGCTTCACTTGGATCAGCAGGCAAACGCCTAGCCATAATAGGAGATTCCACAGCTCTAGATGGTGAATTACTGGATGGTAGGGTTTTTGAACCAGAACCTTTTTTGACTTTCTTTTTAATGCTGTCAAAAAGGGATGGTTTTTCCTTCTTGACATAATTACTTGGCACATAACCAGCTTGACCTCTTGCACTTTGTACTCTCCACCAGTGTTTAGAGTCATCAAGGAGCAAATAACGTTCATTTTTACGCAAGTCTAACTCCTGAGCACCTTGCGCTCCATAGTCATATTTGGCGACAACATAACATACGTCGTCTTGACTTGTCTTGCCTGAAAATTGCCACAATTACATTTCTCTCCAATATTATATATTTTAAATTACAATTTTAGTAATAATGTATTTTCTCAATATAGAATGTCTAATGAATATTAACAATTAATTAATAATAATCCTAACTCTATAATTTAAATGTATTACAATAAAATGA